GGCAGTACAGTATGCTCATAACATAAGTCAAGTGGTGCTGCCAAAAACATTGACATAGAGTATTATGTTGTGAAAGATAAAGTCCGGGATCAAGTCATAAGTCTTGAGCATATAAGAACAGAAAGGATGCTCGCGGATCCGCTTACAAAAGGCTTACCACCCAACATGTTCAGAGGACATGGTGTTCAGAGAACATGTAGCTAGCTTGGGTTTAAGGGAAAGCCTAAAATATTCCTGGACAAAAGAAGGCCCAAAGATAAGTATCTATTTGAGCAGAGTAGTGAGTTGTAGGCATTAAGTCTATCGGCAATGGACCGTGTGACGATGAGACATGCTCTATGAGCTAATCTGTAATGGAATGAACAAAAGTAAATGATATGAAAGTGAAAGATGGAATGAGATCAAGGGGGAGAATGTTAGTTGATCTCCACCAATAGGCCCAACGGCCTATTGGGCCCTTATCTCTGCTCCCTGATCAGGGGAGCCCAACCCTAATTCGGTTGGTGGGCCCCTGTCGCACAGCACACATAAAAAGAAGGTGGGGGTGAGAGCTCGGACTACGAGGTTCATCGGAGCCGCCACCCACTCAACAGAGAAACCCTAAAACCGATCTAAAGTAGTGCTGGAAGCGCCGGGATGTGCCCCACCACCACCGTCACCCCTGCAGGTTCTCCGTCGGTGCCACTGGACTTCTCTCCACCGCGCTGGACGACTCCTACTACACCGACAGCATCGGTGTCTACCCACTTAGGTGGGTCAACAGAAAAGATGAGGATGCTTACCCGATCCTACAGTCACAGAAAGGTACACACCACTGCATCCTAACACGCGGAGCCTCACCTCGTGAACCCAGTCACCGGGCAGCGGATTGACACCCTCCCTCGGTGGCCACCGTCGAAAGTGCGGCGGCGTGCGCACGACGAGCGGCGGCGCCGCCGTCGTCGCCGACACGTTACCACGGTGTACCAATGACGACTCGTCGCTGTGGGTGTCTGATCCCGCCAACGCGCCCACGACACCGCGGGCCAGCGCGTGAGCTCATCGACTACCTCTACGTCCGGGCGATCATCTCGTCGGACCCATCGACGGCGGCTGCGTCGTCGTGCTCGTCTTCATCGCTAGATTACCAGTACCGTGCTTCGCGAGGCGGGAGACGCGCCTTTGGGCGTGAATCTGACCTCCGACGGAGAACACCCAAGATCGCGATCGCGCCTTCCGGCGGCGGCGCGACGCTCTCGCGATGCGCCACGACGGCGCGATCCACGCGTTCGACCTCCTCGGCCGGCGGGCGCTCGAGAGGAGGTCGTGCTCCGTTCTCGAGTCCGGCGGGAGGACGGCGACCAACTACCTCGTCCCACGCGCCATGGCTACGCGGCGCCCGGCTGGCCGGCCGGTGTGGAGGAGGATGGGCGCCATCGAGCCTGTGGCGCCAAATGCGGTGGCACAAGAATCTGCGTGGCGGGCGAGAATCGATCACGGTTTATCGGTGGATCTGGCCGCGCAACACTTGGTTGAGATCAAGAACACAGGCGATCACGCCTGTTAGTGGAAGTGCAACTTCTCCTTCACTCGCGGCGCAACGGATTTGTCGGTATTGCCCAACCACGTCTACTACACGGACAATGAGGAGCATTATGCCTTTGACTGCTTGCGATGCCCAAGGGACATTGGTATCTACAATGTGGGTGATGGCAGCTTTCACCAAGTCCAACCTCCTTGCCCATGGTTGAATTGGCCCCTTCCCACCTGGATTATGCCAAGTCTTCACTACAAAGGATAGCACATCCCTTCTATTGTCTATATAATTTGTACAACCCCGTAAACTCGTGCAGTCGTGCTCCTGCACGTACGGGCTCTATAGTTCTGTATATGTGATGGTAAGTTTTATTTCGTCCTTGGACTAGTCATTAATTAGATCATGTCTTTATTGGCAAAGACTTCATACCGCACGGCCTTTTTTCGGCGCACCGCATGGCCACCTGCCCTATCTCCCTCCCCACGCCCGCGCCGGCCAGGTCCTCTTCCACCTCACGCATCTTCCCCAACTCCGAAGGCATGTTCAGCGCCGGCGAGGTGTGTCCTCCTCCTCTCTCATTCAAGCACTCCCGAGTTAGGGTCCCAATGGGCCCCTCTCTTCTTCCTAACTCCAGTGGACTCAGAAGAGAAGGGGTTCGGGGGAGGCAGGGTGTCCAGACGGTGGGGATGGCGGGAGGGCGGCTTTAGGGTCCTGGCGGTGGTGAAGGTGGTCGGGCTAGGTAGGGGCGAGGGCGCCCATGGCCATGGCGGCGGCGGGAGGGGGATGGGAAGAAGGAGGTCGCTGCAGCGGTAGGGTGTCGCCGGAGCACTGCGGACGTGCCCACGACCACGGAGCTCCGGTGAGATCCTACCACCCGCGCGCGGGGCGTGGTTGGCAGATAGTGGAGCTTCGGGCAAATCCGACGTCGGCAGCCATGGATGACGTGGCTTCGGGTAGATCCGATGTCGTGGCCATAGGCGTCAGCGGCGAGGAGGAAGAAGCGTGAGGCGGTCGTGCGGCTGCCCGTAAATTAGGCATGTCCGTCTTTATTTCGTCGATTTTGCAAGATTTCATTAGTTTTTGCAAGTTTGCATACATCCTGAAAGGCAAGGATCACATGTAGGTTTGTTAGGCATGGACCTTCTTAAGCTAGCCACCCGGCCAACGTAACTTTCGGCCTCATCAACAAAAAAAAAGTATGAATTGCAAAAATTATGAATATAAAAAAAAGCCAAAATGCCTTATAATTTGGAAAGAACGGAGTATTCTGCTTCTTTTGTACAAAGAGCCCAAGAGCAATGAGGAGAGATCACTTTTGTCCATTTGCTTTCTTGCTCACTTCCTCTCCTAAATTTGTCATTCTTGTTTGGGATAGAATCCTGACGACACCCACCGTGGTTTTTTATTGAAGTCAGTAGAGGAGTCGCCGACCTATTTTTTTATACCAGGAAAAAATATTTCAAATTATAAGGCCCTAGGCTTAAAGGGCTTTACCTGGTGATGAATCAGTTGGGAAAACTCCTCCTTGAACAAAATCTTCCATGGAGCTGAATTAAGATATTCGCCATGTTCGCTTGGCTTATAAGCCGTATTTTTTCAGCCAGCGAACAGTATTTTTCTCTCACAACAAATCAATCAACGGTACTTTCAGCCATGGCTTATCAGCTAAGCGAACAGGGCAATTGTTCCTCCTCCAAAGATGATAGCATTTCGATGCTTCCAGATGATCCAGTAGGCTACAATAACAGAAAATACAAGACCCGAAAGCTCTCCTTGCTGAAGTGATCATCTCATAAGACTACAGTCTACGGTGTAATATCTCAGTATCTTTATAATAGGAATCCTACACAAAGAGCGAGCATCCGATAGGGCCACATCACCCGTTAACACGCTAACCGTCCAATCTAACCAACTCGTGATATAGTCCGTTCGGTTTGAATCAATTCGGGCCTATGCCCAAATCGAAAATTCACGAAACTTCTCAAGCTTAACCCGTTAAGGCCTTGTTTGGATATTGTTGAATTCACCTTAATCCATGTGTATTTAATTATATTGGAATGGAATTTAATTTAAGTTCTACTTTAATCCACCCCAACACACGTGGATTCGTGTAAATCCAGCTGCACATCGAGACAAGGCCTAAGCGAGTGGCAGGGCAGCTGCCACGAGCGAGGTGGTGCGGACGAGCCTAGGGCGGCGTAGCACAGGTGTGCGGTCTCCAGCGGCAGCAGGCGCGGCCACCACCGCGGACGACAAGCGCGGGCGCACCTAAGCCGACGAGGCGGCGCGGTGAACCGAGCACGACACAGGACGGCGTGGCCGTGGACCACCAACGAGGCGGTCCCGGCGAGCCGAGCGCAGCGTGTCACGGGTGTAGCTCTCCATCCTCCTCGTCGATCCCTGCGACTGTGCAAAAGCAACGGGGAGGTTCCTGTTACCGGTTCCATATTCTTGCTCCCCTTTTCTGCTTACTGGCTTACTGCATCCTGTAGTGAAGCTATGGTGTTTGATGAAACGTGCATGTGGCAGTTTCATTCCATTTTATATTTGTAATACTGCGTTCATCACCAATAGGTGAAGTTGCTGCTGAAATGATAACAGATAAAAATGCTCAGTTCTCAAGTTTGTGCAAATGTCCTTTCAACCCGGAGCTAAAAGTGAGGATGATGTATATCTCAAGTTTGTGGCTACTGCGTCGCGGTGCGGTGGAGGCGGCCCTCGCGTCTGCTGCGTGGCGGCGAGCGGCTGCAGGGGCGACGGCGGTGGTGCGCAGCCGGCCGGGGAGGAGACGACGGCGACCTGCTGCTGCGCGGGGATGGGCAGTGCCGGCGGAGGCGACGCTCCTCCTCGAGCTCCGCGGCCGGGTCTAGCAGCCGCTGTTGCTGCGCTCGACATCGGGCTATGGCTGTCGTTGGGCTTGTGGTTCGGTTTTCTCTGACACCTGACACTTATGTCTGACATTTGTGTATAATTTGGGGATAGTTTGACGTATATTTCTCTGAAATCTGTAATTCATAAAATTAATTTGTAAATTTTGAAAAATTTAACGTATATTTTTTTGAGATATGCAATCCATAGAAATATAAGTTGTCTTATATTTTCAAATTACATCACTCTATTCAATAAATTACAGTGAAGAAATCATTATAAATATAGTAATAAAACAATATAAATATAGTTAAAAAATAGTGTAAATGCATAAAAAAATCAGGTGCCAGGAACTTTCAAAACACTCAGTTATTGGGTAGACAGTTCCTTAACTATTCATGGAAAACATTACTACTCGTTTCCAATCGGGCAACCCAGTCATTGCAGGACAAAATCTAATTAGTTTTGTCTATTTCTCCATCAAAGTCTTAAAGCTCTAGGATCCCAGTAAAAATCATCAGTAACCATCTCAGTAATGGCGCGGCGTCCAATTCCTAATTCCTAATCTTGCTAACATGACCATAGCTAACGTTGGCACAGTTTGATACACAGCCGCTCAAGCAACGAGGCCGATGTACTCGAGCTCCACGGAGCCCAGCCACAGCTTCCCCCTCCTCTCCGCCACGTCGCTCAGTGTGACACCCTTGGCCGCCGTAAGCTCCTCGACCTCCACCCCGTGGGCGTCCAGGCGGACCCCGGCCAGGTGCTTCGCGGGAGCCGTCGCCGGAGCCAGAGGCTCCTACTGTAAATGCATTAAAAAGACAAGTCATAGAGTTATGCACAGGAAGCTCACTTCATCTTCATTCGAAGAGAGTGGTCACGTACAATCGTCTCTATAGAAGGCTGCTGGCAGCAGTTAAATATGCTACGACTACTATGTACAGTAAGTGCAGGCAACGCTGTTCTGAAGAGATGCCTATGGTTACAGTCAAGTCACCTTCCATATCTGCTGGCCCGTCACACCTGAAGCTCAGCCGTTCATTGAAGGATCAATACTGGATGACAGCAAGAACACCAGGATTGATGGCCAGCTTGCTACTGAATGCTAATGACATGCTGCTGCGGCTGCGTCCTCTCCTCTCCTGCATGTTCTGAAGCCTGGTCGTGCACAACCTGCATCGTCAGTCACGCCTCATCATCTCAGTTTGAAACTGCATGTAGTACTAGTATCTTGCAGCACGATCTTTCGTAAAAGATTCAGACAGACCTGCCGTTGCCTGCATCGATGAAGCAGCTCAGTAACCGCCACCAATATGATGTAGACCGGTATGACGATCGCCGCGGTTCTAAGCATCAGCAGCTGTTTTTTCAGGAGCATAATTGCACTAGGTTAGCCAAGTTGGACAAGCGTTGATGTGATGCATCTAGGTTTTCAAGGATGTAATTCAGAGCCTTACAGTGACCATTGCAACGGTGTAGGCATCTTGGTCACCGAGGAAAACCGAGAGGGAGTCGCGGAAGACCAGGAGAGCCATCAACTGAAGGTGGATGTTTCAGAATGTTACTAGCTTTGGGACGAACAAAAAGTATGCACTCTGTATCTTCTGCAGATACTTACAGTTATAGCGATTATGCGACAACATAATACGCCGGTAGGAGCTGGAGTTTGATCATATCCATAGTTTGTTGATGTAGCAGAATGATCTGCATTCAGCATTGGTCGTGCTTGAATGTAGCCAGGAGCACTGCAATTGGGAAATGACAAGGGTGTTATTCCATATATTCCTGATCGGCTCAAGCATTCGTTCTTGTGATAACAAGTGAAGTTCTATAATAACAAGGTACCTGAAGAAAATCGTGTTTCTTCCTCGTTGAAACAGCTTTGAAGATGCAGTGTAATTTGGTACAAATTGCTGCGTGACCGTGAATCAGAAGATAATAGTCAGTTTTTGTTCGCGTAAAGTTGATTTGAAATACCAGCTGAGACTAGATGCCTGGTGAAGAATTTCACCTGCAAGCATATCTCACATATGGTGTCTCCCTTCTCGTCACACCATCTCTGAATGCATTTGCGATGAGCATACTGCAATAAAACACCTTAATTAATCCATGTATTTGATCCCTCATACCAAATTAGTTCGATTCTACTACTATCTAACATGTTTCAAATTCCGGAAAATTCTTCCTCCGAAACTAATTGCTGAAATGAAGTGGGATTAGCATGATGACGCGTTGTACCTTCAAGCTTCCCTTGCAGGAGCAAGCAGCCTCCATGCAGGCCTCGTCGTCATCCTCCTGGCAGATTCTGCATTCTACCAAGACGCCGCTCGCTGGCCTGCCATCTTGGACAGACACATCGCACGCAGTCGATGTGGTAGAGGGCACGACAGAGGCCTCATCAATGGCGGACTGAAGACTTGACTCCGTGAGCAATCGGCCTGCCATCACCCCGAAATGGTCTGCCATCGATCCCAGGAAGCTCGAGACAACGAACCGCGCCCCCAAGCATAAGAATGATGACGGATGCGATCAGAACGGAGGGGGTGGAGGCGAGGAAGAAGGGCAGCGGCGGCAGGCAGGCTGAAGGAGAAGGCTTGCGACGAGGGATTTGGATATCTGAAGCACCGAGAGAATGGCGAAGAGAAGCAAGAGATGGAGTAGGCGCCTCTTTGCCACTGCTGATCTTTGCTTGCTTCTGAAACATCTTACGCCCTGACATGCTTGATTGTTAGTGCATGCAGGGAACAAGGCACCGCCGGAATTCGGCGGCAAACGAAATGTTTGCTTACTGGCTAAATAAAACTATTCTTTCCCACTAAAACTCAAGCAAGGAGTTGGGGAAATAATGAAGCCATGAAGGTATACCATATTATTGCTCTAAGCGTCCAGGTGACCCTTTTGTTCAAGAAAGCCAGCGTTGTTATGATATTGCATTAGTTTTTTGTATCTTGTTGCTGATAGGCTGATATCATCCTTTGCTTGTCTGTTTGTCCTGCGATTCTAGTTAGGACTGGGAAACTTGACAGGTGAAGGAAGGTGTAAAGTGTTGCATGATGGATTCGAGCTCTGATCTCTGTAATCTCTCACCTTTCGTACACGTTTCATGTCAGCTTGTTCGCTTGTTGGTTTCAGCCAGTCCAAACCAGTCAGCCAACAGTATTTTCCTCTCACAAAAAACCAGCACCAGCCAGCCTAAACCAGCACCAGCACCAACCAGCGAACAGGCCCAAAATGCTCAGTTCTCAAGTTTGTGCAAATGTCCTTTCAACCCGGAGCTAAAGTGAGGATGATGTATATCTCAAGTTTGTGGCTACTGCGTCGCGGTGCGGTGGAGGCGGCCCTCGCGTCTGCTGCGTGGCGGCGAGCGGCTGCAGGGGCGACGGCGGTGGTGCGCAGCCGGCCGGGGAGGAGACGACGGCGACCTGCTGCTGCGCGGGGATGGGCAGTGCCGGCGGAGGCGACGCTCCTCCTCGAGCTCCGCGGCCGGGTCTAGCAGCCGCTGTTGCTGCGCTCGACATCGGGCTATGGCTGTTGTTGGGCTTGTGGTTCGGTTTTCTCTGACACCTGACATTTATGTCTGACATTTGTGTATAATTTGGGGATAGTTTGACGTATATTTATCTGAAATCTGTAATTCATAAAAATAATTTGTAAATTTTAAAAAATTTGACGTATATTTTTCTGAGATATGCAATCCATAGAAATATAAGTTGTCTTATATTTTCAAATTACATCACTCTATCCAATAAATTACAGTGAAGAAATCATTATAAATATAGTAATAAGACAATATAAATATAGTTAAAAAATAGTGTAAATGCATAAAAAAATCAGGTGCCAGGAACTTTCAAAACACTCAGTTATTGGGTAGACAGTTCCTTAACTATTCATGGAAAACATTACTACTCGTTTCCAATCGGGCAACCCAGTCATTGCAGGACAAAATCTAATTAGTTTTGTCTATTTCTCCATCAAAGTCTTAAAGCTCTAGGATCCCAGTAAAAATCATCAGTAACCATCTCAGTAATGGCGCGGCGTCCAATTCCTAATTCCTAATCTTGCTAACATGACCATAGCTAACGTTGGCACAGTTTGATACACAGCCGCTCAAGCAACGAGGCCGATGTACTCGAGCTCCACGGAGCCCAGCCACAGCTTCCCCCTCCTCTCCGCCACGTCGCTCAGTGTGACACCCTTGGCCGCCGTAAGCTCCTCGACCTCCACCCCGTGGGCGTCCAGGCGGACCCCGGCCAGGTGCTTCGCGGGAGCCGTCGCCGGAGCCAGAGGCTCCTACTGTAAATGCATTAAAAAGACAAGTCATAGAGTTATGCACAGGAAGCTCACTTCATCTTCATTCGAAGAGAGTGGTCACGTACAATCGTCTCTATAGAAGGCTGCTGGCAGCAGTTAAATATGCTACGACTACTATGTACAGTAAGTGCAGGCAACGCTGTTCTGAAGAGATGCCTATGGTTACAGTCAAGTCACCTTCCATATCTGCTGGCCCGTCACACCTGAAGCTCAGCCGTTCATTGAAGGATCAATACTGGATGACAGCAAGAACACCAGGATTGATGGCCAGCTTGCTACTGAATGCTAATGACATGCTGCTGCGGCTGCGTCCTCTCCTCTCCTGCATGTTCTGAAGCCTGGTCGTGCACAACCTGCATCGTCAGTCACGCCTCATCATCTCAGTTTGAAACTGCATGTAGTACTAGTATCTTGCAGCACGATCTTTCGTAAAAGATTCAGACAGACCTGCCGTTGCCTGCATCGATGAAGCAGCTCAGTAACCGCCACCAATATGATGTAGACCGGTATGACGATCGCCGCGGTTCTAAGCATCAGCAGCTGTTTTTTCAGGAGCATAATTGCACTAGGTTAGCCAAGTTGGACAAGCGTTGATGTGATGCATCTAGGTTTTCAAGGATGTAATTCAGAGCCTTACAGTGACCATTGCAACGGTGTAGGCATCTTGGTCACCGAGGAAAACCGAGAGGGAGTCGCGGAAGACCAGGAGAGCCATCAACTGAAGGTGGATGTTTCAGAATGTTACTAGCTTTGGGACGAACAAAAAGTATGCACTCTGTATCTTCTGCAGATACTTACAGTTATAGCGATTATGCGACAACATAATACGCCGGTAGGAGCTGGAGTTTGATCATATCCATAGTTTGTTGATGTAGCAGAATGATCTGCATTCAGCATTGGTCGTGCTTGAATGTAGCCAGGAGCACTGCAATTGGGAAATGACAAGGGTGTTATTCCATATATTCCTGATCGGCTCAAGCATTCGTTCTTGTGATAACAAGTGAAGTTCTATAATAACAAGGTACCTGAAGAAAATCGTGTTTCTTCCTCGTTGAAACAGCTTTGAAGATGCAGTGTAATTTGGTACAAATTGCTGCGTGACCGTGAATCAGAAGATAACAGTCAGTTTTTGTTCGCGTAAAGTTGATTTGAAATACCAGCTGAGACTAGATGCCTGGTGAAGAATTTCACCTGCAAGCATATCTCACATATGGTGTCTCCCTTCTCGTCACACCATCTCTGAATGCATTTGCGATGAGCATACTGCAATAAAACACCTTAATTAATCCATGTATTTGATCCCTCATACCAAATTAGTTCGATTCTACTACTATCTAACATGTTTCAAATTCCGGAAAATTCTTCCTCCGAAACTAATTGCTGAAATGAAGTGGGATTAGCATGATGACGCGTTGTACCTTCAAGCTTCCCTTGCAGGAGCAAGGAGCCTCCATGCAGGCCTCGTCGTCATCCTCCTGGCAGATTCTGCATTCTACCAAGACGCCGCTCGCTGGCCTGCCATCTTGGACAGACACATCGCACGCAGTCGATGTGGTAGAGGGCACGACAGAGGCCTCATCAATGGCGGACTGAAGACTTGACTCCGTGAGCAATCGGCCTGCCATCACCCCGAAATGGTCTGCCATCGATCCCAGGAAGCTCGAGACAACGAACCGCGCCCCCAAGCATAAGAATGATGACGGATGCGATCAGAACGGAGGGGGTGGAGGCGAGGAAGAAGGGCAGCGGCGGCAGGCAGGCTGAAGGAGAAGGCTTGCGACGAGGGATTTGGATATCTGAAGCACCGAGAGAATGGCGAAGAGAAGCAAGAGATGGAGTAGGCGCCTCTTTGCCACTGCTGATCTTTGCTTGCTTCTGAAACATCTTACGCCCTGACATGCTTGATTGTTAGTGCATGCAGGGAACAAGGCACCGCCGGAATTCGGCGGCAAACGAAATGTTTGCTTACTGGCTAAATAAAACTATTCTTTCCCACTAAAACTCAAGCAAGGAGTTGGGGAAATAATGAAGCCATGAAGGTATACCATATTATTGCTCTAAGCGTCCAGGTGACCCTTTTGTTCAAGAAAGCCAGCGTTGTTATGATATTGCATTAGTTTTTTGTATCTTGTTGCTGATAGGCTGATATCATCCTTTGCTTGTCTGTTTGTCCTGCGATTCTAGTTAGGACTGGGAAACTTGACAGGTGAAGGAAGGTGTAAAGTGTTGCATGATGGATTCGAGCTCTGATCTCTGTAATCTCTCACCTTTCGTACACGTTTCATGTCAGCTTGTTCGCTTGTTGGTTTCAGCCAGTCCAAACCAGTCAGCCAACAGTATTTTCCTCTCACAAAAAACCAGCACCAGCCAGCCTAAACCAGCACCAGCACCAACCAGCGAACAGGCCCAAAATGCTCAGTTCTCAAGTTTGTGCAAATGTCCTTTCAACCCGGAGCTAAAAGTGAGGATGATGTATATCTCAAGTTTGTGGCTACTGCGTCGCGGTGCGGTGGAGGCGGCCCTCGCGTCTGCTGCGTGGCGGCGAGCGGCTGCAGGGGCGACGGCGGTGGTGCGCAGCCGGCCGGGGAGGAGACGACGGCGACCTGCTGCTGCGCGGGGATGGGCAGTGCCGGCGGAGGCGACGCTCCTCCTCGAGCTCCGCGGCCGGGTCTAGCAGCCGCTGTTGCTGCGCTCGACATCGGGCTATGGCTGTCGTTGGGCTTGTGGTTCGGTTTTCTCTGACACCTGACATTTATGTCTGACATTTGTGTATAATTTGGGGATAGTTTGACGTATATTTCTCTGAAATCTGTAATTCATAAAATTAATTTGTAAATTTTGAAAATTTTGACGTATATTTTTTTGAGATATGCAATCCATAGAAATATAAGTTGTCTTATATTTTCAAATTACATCACTCTATTCAATAAATTACAGTGAAGAAATCATTATAAATATAGTAATAAGACAATATAAATATAGTTAAAAAATAGTGTAAATGCATAAAAAAATCAGGTGCCAGGAACTTTCAAAACACTCAGTTATTGGGTAGACAGTTCCTTAACTATTCATGGAAAACATTACTACTCGTTTCCAATCGGGCAACCCAGTCATTGCAGGACAAAATCTAATTAGTTTTGTCTATTTCTCCATCAAAGTCTTAAAGCTCTAGGATCCCAGTAAAAATCATCAGTAACCATCTCAGTAATGGCGCGGCGTCCAATTCCTAATTCCTAATCTTGCTAACATGACCATAGCTAACGTTGGCACAGTTTGATACACAGCCGCTCAAGCAACGAGGCCGATGTACTCGAGCTCCACGGAGCCCAGCCACAGCTTCCCCCTCCTCTCCGCCACGTCGCTCAGTGTGACACCCTTGGCCGCCGTAAGCTCCTCGACCTCCACCCCGTGGGCGTCCAGGCGGACCCCGGCCAGGTGCTTCGCGGGAGCCGTCGCCGGAGCCGCGTCCAGCCACTGCTTCTCCTGGTTCAGCGCCACCCAGTAGCCACCCTTGCCGTCCCGCCTCACGTTGTCCGGGTAGCCCGGCAGGTCCGCCATCAGCTCGTACTGTCCCGCCCTGGCGCCGCGGAGGAAGTACCTGAACGCCTGGCACGGCACGGTGTGCGCGACCACGACCTGCGCGCCGTCGCGGCTGACCGCCACGCCGTTCGGGTACGGCAGGCCGGCCTTGAGCACGGTGACGCTCTTCGTCTGCGCGTCGTACTTGAGCAGCCGCCCCGTTGCGTCCGCGTTCATCATGATCTCCGTGTTAAACCTCCTCGGGTAACGTCGCCGGTGGCCCGGTTGACGTCGAGGCCGTTGACGAAGTTGAACGGGACGCCGTCCGCGCCGGTCGCCAGCACCTCGGCCTCGCCGCCGCCCGGCCCGACCCTCATGAGCCCCAAGTAGGCGTCGTCAATATAGAGGTTGCCGGTCTTGAAGTGGAACTGGAGGCCCAGGGCCGGCCGCACATGCTCTCGGTCTCCACCGACGGCACCGCGCCCGGCGTGCACAGGGGTATCCTCCTGTAGTTGGCGCTGTGCGCGAACGTGGTCCAGCCGACGGCGCTGCCGCCCCACTTGAGGACGCGGCCGTCCGAGACGCCGGCGTAGGGCCCTTCGCCCTTGCCGTCGAAGGCAAGGCTCTCGGCGCCGCTGATGCCGCTGGGTAAAGGGAGGTGGAAGCTCCAGCGCGTGTCGGTTGTCTTGACCTGCGCGGCGGCACACGGCGGGGCGAAAAGGGCTAGGACGACGACGGCGAGGAGCCACGTCACCAGATTGAGCCGCCGCGCCCCCATGCTGTGCAGTGCGTCACCCAACTAGCTAGCTTCCTCGCGATGATCTCCGACGCGTGCAGAGCTCTCGCAATCTTGTGCAGTGTGTGCTGGATTTGTCGTGTGTTCTTATGTTGCTCTCGCCGCGCCGTGGGCTCGCGTTTTATGGCGCTGAAACCTGCCCGTCGCGCCTTCGGACTCGGCCGCTGTCGGCGGGATATTTCGTTTACGAGCCGGACCGCCGATCACGAGACGGCCCTGTTGGTGTTGGGATTTCGGAAGCTGGCTCGCGCACGCGGTTTTGTACCTATCACAATTCAGATTCGGACCCAAACGAGGCGCGTGTTTTCTTCGGATGGGAGGCTCGTGGGCATAGGGGCCTCCACAAAATTTGTGCGTCAGTTCGCCGGTGCGTGACAGGGAAGGGACCAGGGCCTCGTCGCGCACAAGCTGGGTTGTGGCCTCGTGGGACTTCAGATTGATCTACGAGAACGCAGACAAACAGAACGACAATTCGGCTGTTGCGCGAGCGACAAGTCTTACATACGCACCCAACGTACACCTTGGAGTCGAAAGCAGCCATTATCCGTGCTTCCTCACACAGAAAAACTGATTTTTTTTAAAAAAAATGTTATATCAAAATGATCATTACAACTCCAAGTCTTCAACGGACGAAGGGGACGAAAATCATCATCATTATCCGTCCCGGACGATGTTTGGAAAATTACACTTTTAGCTTTGTCGCTTCAATCCAAAATTCAGACGACGACGGAGCAACCCCGGTTAAACTAAAAACATTGCAGTTCCAATACACTCTCTTGGTCTTGGATCTCCAAACACCACGTATCATGATCAACGGAAAATGCTAGTGTATCATCCGGACGCCCCCGTTGCCGTGGGCCATGACGGTACGAACGACTCACTATCCCAGATGCCTCCCCCGATCGGCCGTTTGATAAAAAAAAAACTCCGTCTGTCTTCTTCACTCACGGGTCCCTAGAAACGTAATTCCCTAATCCTCACTCGCCACCGAATTCCAATTCCACGCTCCACCATGACCACGCTCCCGTGGCGCTCTCGACCGCGGCTGGTCAGCCGCCATCCTCCATATCCACCTCACTTTGAGCACCGATGGCCGCCTTCCTCCTTCTCCACCGTAGTTCACCGACCATCGCGTGGCTTCAGTTCGTCGCTCCCGCCCAACCGCTTCCGTTCCTCTCCGACAGCACCTCGGGCCTCCACCTCTCTTCCTCTCAACAGAGCTCGGTCCGCATCCTTCCTCGGTGACGGCATCTAGCGATGCGGACGAGATCGGGCAGGGCAGCGTCGCCTGCCTTTGCTGGCGTTGGTGGTGCCGTCGCGCGCCTCAGGTCGGTCCCCACCGAGCCAAGGGCACCTGAAAGCATCTAGGCCCCTAGTTGGGTTTCGGTGATTAATGACAATACGAGATTACTATGACTAACGTGTGTTTTGCAGAGACAATTAAGTTAGGTCATGGTAACGACAATTGATTGGGCAATCATGGTTGTCATGCCCCTACGATGGAAATCGTTTCAGTTTTCAAAGGATGGATGACAAGGTTAAGGATAGACTAATTCTAAGTGTCGTTTGGTGTTGAAGAGACACTTAGAGTAGTTTATGACTTTGTTTTTCCTTTGGTCGTACTATTAAGGGGGGTATGAACTAGTTGCTTGATCTATGTGAGTCTAGTGGGTTAGGTGTGGTGCACACTTATCAAATCTAGCACTAGGTAGCTTCGAAGTAGCTCTAAGATCAATTGGAGAAAACTTCATTCACATATGATTTCGAGTTGGAAGTGAATGGAGGGTCAAATATTAACCGGACGCTGGTTCGGTTGTGACCGGACGCTGACAGTAGAGTCCGGTCAGTTCATTTGATCAAGGTGAAGTCATCTGGTTGCGACCGGACGCTGAGTGAAAAGTGACCGGACGCTGGATGCCAGAGTCTGGTCAACTCCAGTAAGGTTCTAGAGAGGAAGAATCCTGATCGGACGCGTCCGGTCAGTGCTGACCGGACGCTGGTCAGGTTTCGGTTACTGACCGGATGCTGAACAGTAAAGTGACCGGACTCTGGGCGCCAGCGTCCGGTCAACATCAGTAAGGGTCCAGAGAGCAGTTTTCGTGACCGGACGCGCCCGCTCAGTGCTGACCGGACGCAGGTCAGAGTCCAGTCACAACTTAATGGCTCTATGGCGGGGAGAACTGACCGGAGTGTCCGGTCACCTTGACCGGAGCGTCTGGTCACCCCGCAGAACGCTGACGCAACCTCCTAACGGTTCGTTTTGAATGAGGGGTATAAATACTTTCTCTATTCATCCAAGGGAGATCTCTTGCCCATTTGATCAGCTGAGAAACACTCTTGAGAGTGCTTTGAAGAGCAAGAGCCTAGTGAGGTGATTGAGATTTGAGAATCCAAGATTAAGACCTCATTAGTGCAAGGAGAGTAGCAAGTGTGTATCCACCCTTCTCATTAGGCTTGTTGTGGTCAAGTGAGAGTTCGTGCTTGTTACTCTTGGTGATCGCCATCACCTAGATAGCTGGGAGGTGATCGAGAGTTTGGTGATCATCCGGTGGAGCTTGTGGATGACCCAACTCAAGTTATGAACGGTTGTGGGTGATTCACTGCGACGGAGTGTCAAAGAATCAACCTGTAGAGAGCACTTGATCCTTACGCGGATCAAGGGGAGCTACACCCTTGCGCAGGTGCTCCAACAAGGACTAGTGGAGAGTGACGACTCTCCGATACCTCGGCAAAACATCGTCGCGTTCCTTCTACTCTCTTTACTTGGAGCATTTACTTTTGAGCAATTCAATTCTTGTCTTTACATTCTTAGAATTGCCATGCTAGAGTAGGATTGGAACTTAGGGTGCTAAACTTTTATACGGTAGATCATTAGAATCACATTCTAGGCACAAGGGGTAAAGTGGGCTAAGTGTAGGGTTTAATTATTACAAAAAATTTTAGAATTAGGCAAATTCACCCCCCCCCTCTTGGGCATCTTGATTCTTTCAATTAGTATCAGAGCCTCGTGCTCATATATTTAGGCTTAACCGCTTAGAAAAAGATGTCCCATAGGGATGGTCCTCCTTCTATCTTTGAGGAAGGTGATTTTCCTTATTGGAAAATCCACATGGAGGCATACTTAGAAGGTCTAGATGTTGAAATTCTTAGAGCCGCCTCTCAAGGCTTCCCAAAACATAGGGATCCCACACATCTTCAAGGCGATGAGGTCAATTATGAGAAATTGTATGCAAAGTCTAGAAACACCATCTTTAGAGGCCTTTGCAAAGATGTGTTTAACCATGTGCGGAACCACAAAGATACCCATGCACTATGGTCGAACCTTTGTGCGCTCCATGAGAGAACAAAGAGCGAGCGTGAGAAACGCTATCATCTTGTCATGAAAAAGCTTAATTCTTTCGGGATGCTTCCTAAAGAAAGTGCAAATAAAATATACTCACGCTTAAATGTTCTTATAGCAGAAGTCAATGGGTTTGGACTTACACAAATGCAACCATCCGATGTTGTAAGAAAGATCTTGAGTGTCCTCCCCATTGACAAATATAGACACATTGTGACTGTGCTTCATCAAGGTGATCTTTCCACCGCTACACCAACTCAAATCTTGGGAAAGATCAACGCTCATTAGATTTATATGCACATCACACTACAGGATGGCTCTTCTTCTACCAAGAAGAAAGACAAAGACTTGGCAATCAAGGCTAGCCAAGAGAACGACAAAGCAAGAGTTGAGTATGAGAGTTCAAGTGATGATGAAATTGATGATTCAAGTCTTGCTCTCATGATGAGAAGAACCATCAAGATGCTAAAGAAGCTCAACAAGAATGGTGTCAAGTTTGATGGCAAGAAAAAGAAGTTCTTCACTAGCAATAGAAGAAAGCCAATCTCGGAGATGGATTGCTACAATTGTGGAGAACTTGGCCATCTAGCTCATCAATGCCCCAAGTCCAAGAAAGATAAGTACAAGAAGAAGTACAAGGGCAAGAAAGATGACTCAAGTGATGAAGATAATGATGAGAAGAAGAAAAACAAGCCATACAAGAAGAAGGATGGCAAGAAGAAAGAATTCCACAAGAAGAAGAAGAATGGCAAGGCATACATCGTCGGTGATTGGCTCACGGATATTGATTCATCAAGTTGCTCATCCGATGATGACAGTGAAAATGAGAAGGTGGCCACTATTGTGATTGATTCTTCATCATCTTCACCGACACCACCTCCATCATCCTCTGCACACCTATGCCTTATGGCCAAGGGTGAACGAAAGGTATCAAATGATGATAAAAGTAGTGGTGATGAACATGCTTGCAATGATGATAGTGATAGTGATGATGATGATGATGAATTTGAATCACCTTCATATGATGATCTTGTTAAATTGCTAAATCAATACACTAAGATCATTAGAAAGTTAAGAGCTAAGAATGAAAAGCTAGAACTTAAGAATGATTCTCTTTTAGCTAAATGTGACATGGTGAAAAAGGCCAGTGTTGAGCTTAGAGAAGCAAATGATGCTATGTCATCCAAACTCAAGGAGCTCAAATCTTATAAGAAAGAGCTTAAAGATAAACATGATAAACTTGAGGGGATACATAATGAGCTCATCACTAGCTACAAAATGCTAAAAGAAGAATATACAAATCTTAAGATCAATCATGATAATCTTGTTATCTCTCATGAGTTTTTATCCAATGAGCCACATGATGCTACTAACCATATTGTTAAGATTGATATAGCTACATCATATGATGATTTGATTATTGAGAGCATTGAGCAAGATTCTAGTAGCAAAGGCAAGCAAGTGGTTGAGTCTGATAACTATGATGAGTATGTCAAGATCAAGAATGACAATGAGAAGCTAAAGAAAGATCTTGAGAAGCTTTCAACAATCAACACCATTGTGATAGAGAACCTTGACCGTGATAGTGATCTAGCTCTTGAGAATGAGAAGCTTAAAGAAGAGAACAAGAGGCTCAAGAAGG